TTTGGTACGGGGATCGAACTCAGGTCTTTGTGCATTCGAGGCAGGTGGCACAACCGCTAAGCTAAATCCCTGGCCCAAGGCGGCTGAGTCTTTGAAACAGGTCGGACCCTCCACTTTCCGCACCTCCAACTGCAGCCACTTCAGCTGTGCTGTCTGTCACCTGTCTGTGCGGCACTGCTCCCTCAGTGTGTTCCTAAGCAAGGGGTCATTGCTTGATGAAGCACAGTCATCCCCTTCTCTCTCTTTGGGGTTAAACCGCGCCTGGGCTGCACACTGAGCCCACTCTGCCCAGGGCACATCCAGCGTTCAGGACTTCATCTGTGTCAGTCCTGCCAAGTACTTAATCCCCTCACTGATAAGCCCCTTTCCTTCTGTCTAAAACACAGGGACTGCTAGCATTGTTAGTGAAGTCAAGCATCTCTAGTCAGAAATGTTTCAAAATCCAGAAATTACTGAAAGAGTCTGGGTTTGGAGGCCTTTCAGATTTCAGGTTTTCTGATGGAAGGCTCTCTCAGTGGTGCCATCTGTGGAGATGCTGTCCCTCCACCTGACAAACTTGAGAGTTGGAGCCACTCTGCCTGCAGGAGTTTGGGAGGAGGGCTCCTGACCCTGTGGTGTGTTAGGGTGGTATAGGGGGTCGCTTCATCTAAGAGACTATGTCAATATGACCACCTCAGAGCTTGAGCTCTGGTTTGGGTCTCTTACTATTACTGTTTTTCTTCTTACTATTATTTTTTACTTACTGTTTTCCCCCCAGAGACAGGAGTCTAGCTGTGTAGTTCAGGCTTGGAACTTGCTATGTAGCACGGGCTGGCCTCAAACTCAGTGGCAGTCGTCCTGCCTCAGCCTCCAGAATGCTGGGATTAAAGGTGTGTGCCACCAGTCCTGGGTATTTTTTTGGTGTTTTTTTTGGTACTGGGGATCGAACACAGGACCTTGCGTTTGCAAGACAGGTGGCAGCACCACTGAGCTAAATCCCTAGCCCTCCTGGCTATTTTTAAAAATTATCAACAGATATTTATTGATCTGGTGTGCTTTACCTGAGTTAGGTTTACCTGGCTTTGGTTTCTCAAGTCCACTTTGAAAATCCCATTCCTGCTGTGATGTCTTCTGATCTTTTGCGCTTGTTTTAGAGTGTGTTTGTGGGCAGAAGGTCTCAGGCCAGTTAGATAGTGGTGTTTGTAAACTTTGGCAGCGTTGGGGTGGAGGGTACTGATGTTTGCACCACTTCAAAGTCCCCCATCACTGTACCTCTGAAGACTCGGTCGCCCCCATGGTGGTGCTATGAGGGTCCTTAGTGGCCCTAGAGTCTGCCCTTCTCTTCCTCTGGCCAGGAGACCTGCCCTGTGTCCCACCTGCTTGCCAGCCTTCCTGGTGCTTGGCTGTGCAGCCTGAGGCCTAGCCTAGAGAGAAAGGAGATGCTGAGGCTGCCCAGGTTCTAGCCCTCTGCCGGGCAGCCTGCGGTAGGGCTTGCCTTAGAATGGGCAGGCTGCAGCCCGGGTTTCTGCCTGAGGGCCAGCAGTTCCTGAACAGCCCTGTGGTGGCATGGCTTTGCTCGCTGGGGTGTTTTATCCTGAGGCAAGCTCTGCCGATGGGAATTTTGGAAGGGACCCTAAAGTGCTAGTGGGTTGATCTGACCCCCTTCCCCCTTTTTAGGGGTAGACTAATGCATTCCTGCTGCTCTTAGTAGAAGTTTGCCCTTCAAGGCTGCTTTCTTCCTGAGGACTTTGTGCCTGCAGTGCAATGGCTGCCAGCTCTGGTGTGCTGGGGACGCGGCCTTTAGGAAGGAGGGGCTGCTCCTCAGCGGCACTCGCCCTCCCTAGGAGCAAATGCCCTGCAGCGTGCGGGGATTGGCTCTGGGGATTGGCGGCAAGCAGGCAAGTCTGGGGCCTGGCTGCGGAGGAAGCTCTGGGCCTGCCTGCGAGGGGAGGTCAGTGTCCACAGAGACCTCTGGGCGGCCCTGCCCCCTCCAGCCGCACTTGTCCTTCCCGAGGTGGGGGAAGGGTGCATGCCCCACCCAGTGACTGCCCCCTGGAGGCAGAGGCAGAGGCAGAGGCGCCGGAGCCTGGGACTGTGGGCCTCTGGGGCCGCCATTGGTTCTGGCCAGGCCTGGCTGAGCTCCACGCTTTGGCTTCATGGTGCACCGCCCTGGCACCACACACTGCGCCCATGCTGTGGCTCCTGGGCCCCTGCTGGGGACCTCAGCCTGCTGCCAGAGCCCGGCTGGGGTCCTCTAGGCTGGAGAGAACAGCCCTGTTAGGCACCTGAGGGCCTTGGGTTCAGAGGAGTTTCACTGAAGAGAGCCCAGAGCCTGCAGGGCTGAAGGTTGTACTGGGATGGAGGAAAAGCATGGTGTCGGGTAGCCTGGGTGGGGGCTGTGAATCCCAGGGAAGGAGTTGGTGCTGGGCACCAGGCCATGCCCGGAGTGTCACTGTGTAGGCACAAAGGTCCCTGTGCGGCTCCTTATCTGTGGTCCTGGTCCCCTCTCTTCCACCTGGACAGGTTGCTTCAGGCCCAGGCCTGGCACTGCCACCCACGGCCTCTGTTGGAAGCTCTGTTCTCACCCGCTCCAGAGCAGCCGAGGAGCCCTGGTGTGGGCAGTGCCCAGAGGAGGGGAGAAGTGGCTGACGCCCCAGGGCAGTGACATCCCCTGGGGAGACAGGGCAGATTGTCATTGAGGAGGCTGGACAGGGTCTGTGGTCAGGGAAAGACAGACCACAACTCCAGAGTTGAGCAGGCGTGAGAGCCAGGGCTAGCTGGGGCCCAGTGGATGGGGTGCATGAGTGGAGCTGCAGGCTGGAACCCCAGGACAGGTGGGGGCAGCTGGAGCCCCAGTCTGAAAGCCAAAGCTGTTCAGGGTTGAGGACCCCCCCTTCCCAGCTTAGTTGTGTCATGGCACTGGGTAGTGCTGAGAGCAAAGGTCTTGGCCTGCCCTCCCTGGGGAGCACAGAGCCTCCCTTGCCCTTTGAGTTGTGCCCATGCTGTGGTGTGGAGGTGCCTGTTTGGTGTGGCCCTCTGACTGCAAGCCAGTTCCTGAAAGGTTTTGAGTCCTGTATCTGGTGACAGCGGTGGGACCCCTTTGGTGCCATGCTGCCCGCTCTGCCCGGGACAGGCCTCCCAGCGTGCTTGCCAGTACAGAAGCGAAATCACCTGGAAACCCGGCAGGCGCCAACAGACTGGGCCTTGGCATAGTGCGCGCCACAGGTGTGAACTGGTCCTCGGGGCCCACAAGGTGGGCGTGGGCCATCAGGAAAATGGTGACACTGGAAATTGTCAGACCTCAGGAGCGCGTTTCCTTTCTTGCCCCTTGGTGAACTCTAGGGCGGATTTTTAAAAGGCTGTGACTCTCTGAGTCTCATTTCCCTGGCCTGTTAGGACGTCGAGGCCTGGGCTCTAGCGGCCCCTTTGAGAGTGCCACTGCCCAGGCCCGCTGTGGCATGCCAGCTCCCTCCCAATGACAGACCTGCTGCACTGTCCTCCTTCTGTCTCCGTGAGGGTTAACAGCACTTGAGCTTGTTGTCTGGAACCGGTTCAGACTGGTTTTCTGGAAAGTGCTTTGTCTCTCCGACTGCATCCTGGGAAGGGTCATGTGGAGCCCAGTGATGTCATGGGATCAAAAACTGACTCAGCTGTTTTGTCCTTCTTTTCTTTCTTCTTTAAATCAAGATATGTGTGTGTTGCAGGTACAGGACGGTGGCACGGTGACGGGCCTGGCCCTGACCTATCCCCAGTGCACCTCACCAGTACTCAAAGGGTTAAATGTGACCCTCATTTCCCACCTCCTGGAGGTGAGCAGGGAGTGAGGAGACCTCCCTTCCCCTGGGCTGAGTCAGAGCCCAACTGAGTCACTGCAGTGACTCCTAGGACAGCATGGTTGCCCCTTCCTGGGTCCCACATACCGTACGTAGTCCTGTGCAGGCTGAGTCCCATATGCCATCAGCCTGGCACGGGGACAGTTTCCCTGCTTGGCTCTCACTTCTGGGCGCACCGAGCTCTTTACCTCCTGGTGAGCGGCCCTGCTGTTGCTTCTGTCTTGCCTCTGGTCCCTGGGCCCCCGTGTAGATGCGTGGGGTACTTTGGAGGCTGGGGTGCCCCTCTTTCCCAGAGTCCCCCGGGCTGTGGAGAAGTGTCTCCAGGACGCCTCTTGGGGCCCATGTTTGTTGTACCTACTCTGCCACCACCACTCTTCAAAGCCACACCCTGAAAAGTTCCTAGAAGGTTACACTTTGCCGTGCCCGGTTCCAATACTGTCTTCTCCTCCCCTCAAGTCCAGAATGACTGAAGAAGCATGCCGAACGCGGAGCCAGAAGCGAGCCCTTGAGCCCGACCCGACAGAGGACGATGCAGAGAGCAAGAAAATAAAAATGGAGAGAGGACTCTTGGCTTCAGACCCCAACACCGAGGAGGACACAAGGGTGACGCCAGAGCTGGGAGCAGGCCCAGCCCGAGGACTGCTGGGGGCCGCGGAGGCCACAGCCACGGCCATCTGCAGAGGTGAAGGGCTGCTGGGCGACGGGCCCGTGGACATGCGCACCTCCCACAGGTGAGTGGGGTGGCGGAGGGGGGCAGCTGTGGTGGTTGTCGTGCGTGTGTCTGGCCCTGGCATCGTACTGCCAGCAGCTTGCTGTCCTGGCCAAGTGAGCTCCATCCAGGGGCCCTGACACCCAGATGTGTAGCTTGGGGTGTTGGTCTCACAGCATTACCCTGCCACCTGTCTGCTCATTGCTCTTCGTTTGCAGGAAGAGGTGAGGCTTTCATTTGGTCATTCATGCCTTCCTGCTCTTTGTATCCGAGTGTGGGAGGCCAGGGATGTTGCATCCCACCTGGGCCATTTCACTTGGCTGGTGTCAGGTGGTGGCCCTGCCCAGGTTTCTGCCCCTTGGAGGAAGGGCCTCTCGCTTGTTGGACTTGGCCATCCCTGAGGTCAGAGCTCCTGCTGCTTGCTGTGGTGTTTCTCGTCAGTCGTTACTTAATTACCTCAGGGTGACTTTGCCATACTCGGCCATCATGAGGCCCTTAGGTGAGGGCTTGGAAGAAATCAGGCTCAGCCAGGTGCATACCTGTCATCCCAGCATGCTGGGAGGCTGAGGCAGAAGGGTGGAAGGCCTAGCCTGGACAACTTAGTGACTTGGTGAGATTCTGTCTCAAAGTAAATAAAAGCAGCACTCTGACATAGCTCAGTGTGAAGGCCCTGGATTCAGTCCTAGTAGTGAAGAGAATAGGGTGGGGGAAACTAATCTTCACCCCATTCTTTATTCAGAAGTTTACTTCCTCCCCATAAAGAGAAATTTAGCTGTGGCCCCTGCTCCTGCTTTACCCTTCCCTCAAATCTCTCCAGAATGTCCACACTGACAGCCACTGAGAGTACAGGGTCCCAGCTCGTCTTCCCTACTGCCCCCCTCACTGTCGAGGACAGGCAGGGCAAAGCTGGGAAGCTGGTGGCCCCTTGTTAGTGTCCCCTGACCCTGCCGAGGGGTCCTGAGCTCTGTTCTTTCTGCTAAATCCATCTTGGAGCCCAGACTAGGGGGTGGTGAGGCTCAGATTGGGTGGCTCAGTGTTTCTCAGCATCTGGATTTGCACCTCCTGCATCAGCCCAGTCCTGCGGGGTAGGCATCTCACACAGTTTGGAGGAGCAAGCTCCTCAGGCCCTGCCTTCCGCATCCCTGTTCTCACCTAGCCCTGCTCCTACACCACAGGTCCAGGGCTCGTTCCCTCTCTGCCTTGGCGGGTCCTCGGCCTCGGGTGGGTGAACCAGTGAGCATCCAGGCTGGGGTCAGGTGTGAGATGTCTGTGGGGACTCTCCTGGGTGCCTCTTGTGTTCTGGGCTCCTGACTTGGTTTTCTTCCCTCATCTCCAAGTGGCTCTGCAGGGCAGGCCTGGGAGACAGGGAGAGTTTGGGTGCTGACAGAGTTCATAACTGGGACTCACAAGCTGGGGTCTGCAGCAGGGCTCTGGGCATCTCTGTCTTTCCACTGGGCCATCAGCTTCCAAACTGGCATGACCTAGAAGATGCGACATTACTCACTGAAGTTGGTTGAGATGCTCTCCTTAGGATGTGTAAAGGGTGCGGGGACGGGAACCAGCCCAGACACTCAGCAGTGGTCCTGGAGCCCTGTGACACTGAGGACATCTGTGGAACAGCCTGGAGGCCGGCAGGCAGGTGGGGGTCAAGTCACCTGGTTAGGCAATCATGGCTGTGTCTCTCCCTGGTGAGTGGCAGTGATCTCCACCTTGCAAGTTGATGAGGCAGTGTGGCGTGTGTACTGGGATCAGCCTCCGTGCTTGGCACGGCAGAGGAGGCCCCCACGGCACTGTGACAGCTACCCTCTCCTGCCGCAGTAGTCAGAGTGCGCTGTCATTCCCTGACCCCTGGCTTCTGGCTTAGTTCTGTGGGAATACGGGGCAGCGCTCTGACAGCGTCACAGAATACACGCAGCCCAGAGCCATTCTGCATGTGGCTTGCTGGGCAGGGGGATGGGCACCCTTGGGTCCCTACTGCCAGCCCGGGGTGGCTCTGGTGGGTTTTCCAGGCTCCAGTTCCATCCCGCATGGGGAACAGCTATGGCCAGCCACAGCCTGGGTCGCTCAAGCTTCTGGTGCCAAGCTTAGTGTGTCGGTTTTAGTAGTTGTATCGAGAAAGGTGGATGTTCATTCCTTAACCCCTTGACTGAAGTACAGCAAGCAAAGCGGAAAGTACGTGTGCCACCAGATACACTTTCATGAACTGAGCACATCCCCAAGGCCCAGAGCGAGAGAACACAGCTGGTGCTCAGCGCTGTAGCATTTACTGTCTTCTTCACCTTTAGCATTGGATTCGTGCAATCTACTTGTGTCGTTGAGACAGTAGTAACTCACTTTCCTCGCATTCTGATATAACCGGCCCTCTGTATCTCCCGGCCCTGACTTGTGGATCAGAAATACTTGGGAAGGGTGGGGTGTAGCTCAGTGGTACAGCACTCACCTGACAGGCGCGAGGCTGTCCTGACCTCTGTGCCCCACTCCCAAAACAGAAAGGCTGTGGCGGGTACACGCTACTCCCTCGAGCACAGCTCTGCCTTATGTGGCCCTTACCTTATGTTGAGGTTCTTGGTCCGAGAGGTAATTTAAACACTTTACCTGTGCGGGTGCCCCACCTGCACCGGGGATTGAATTTGGGGCCTTGCACTTGCGAGGCAGTCATGGCGCCACTGAGCTACATCCCTGGCCCAGCGCTCTTCCTTTTGTATGAAGGTCTTTAGCATCCTGCAGGGCACCTTGGAGCCAGGGCCTCCCCAGTACCAAGAGTTGGGACTGTCGTCTGTTTCTGGAGTTTCTGTTCAGTTCTTTTTCAAAACTATCACTTTTTCTTTGTTTAATGCTTTCTACTTCCTGTCTTATAACCTGATTTGGGCATTTTGAAGGCTAGAGATGTTTTCTGGTGGTTTCTAGAAGGAAGTTCCTTTTTATTTTTTTAAGAGTTACTATGGATCAAAATTACCAAGACACACAGACGTATAACTACAGATGCACTACACACACACACACTTATGGGTGATTTGGGGCGTGCATGGCAGCACAAAGTGATAGGGCCCCATCTCTTTAATTGGATGATATTTCTGACTTAGTCTCTTAAAGCTTGTGCTTTAAGTTGAAATAAATTAAAATGGGAGAGGGCCTGGGATTTATTCAGCTCAGTGGTTCCACCGCCTGCCTTGCAAGCTGAAGGACCCAAGTTCGATCCCCAGTACCAAAAAAAAAAAAAAAATTAAAGGG